GACAGCTAAGTAGTTATGCATAGCTTTTTTTTTATTGCTGCTAAAAATATGTTTTTAAATAATTAAAACTTCTCTTGATATAAATGAATGCTTGAAAAAATGAGCTCTAGGAAGTCTCTACTGAAGTGACTGAAAATGCTTTTGGAAGTAGTGATAGAGCAAAGAAAGAAATGAATTGTGGTTTGAAGTATTAAAAGGACTGTGGAGGATAAAACTTTTTGATTCTCTTAATTTTGACCCACTTTATGCATACTTATAATGGAAAATTGATCAGAACTTAATCATACTCATATATTCCTTCTGAGCATATGGCCCTGTTTCTAGGGTTAATAGGGAATGTGATGCTTACATTGTTACGTATAGGTTGAGAATTTTTTCCTAATATAAATTGATAAGATTTAAAAAAGAAATGGCTGGCAGATATTTCATAATATGATAGAATATCTATATTTAGATGGTTTTTAGAGTCCTGAAGAAATCTCAATTTTAACCTTTATATATGATCAGACTATATATAACTGATTTCTTTTCATCTAAACTTTGGGGAAACAGATTATAAATAAGAGTTTTATTTAACATGATCAATAATTAAGCCATTTAAATCTCATATTTCATATCAGTTGGTATCATTACTGAACAAAAGTGGGGTTAAGCAGCCTGTTGTCACTGACAGGCAAATTCCAAAGACAGAGTTTGGTGGGGTAGGAAACAGATCTTTATTAAAAGGTTGCAGTTTGGGAGGGTTGAGGACTCCCCAGCTCCAGGCTCATCTCTTCTGGAAAACTCAGGCAAAGCCCATCTGTTCCTGAAAAGACTAAAACCAAAAACCATGCCCCCAAATCCTGCTCCATCCTTATCTGTCTATCTTTAGAGCCTGAGGCTGTTAAATGGATGGCTTTCTGGGTTCAGGCTCATTCCTGGGGTCTGCTTGTGGGACTGGCACTGCCATCACCATTCAGCTTCCAGGACCTACCTGATCCCATAAATCCTCTGGCCTGCACCTCCACGCTGGTGGGTCCCAGAGGAAGAAGAGTGTGTGTATCCCTTCCCTTTGTTTAAATATACCAGCCCAAACTTCCACATGCTCAGAAAGGTACCCCGTCACCCCGCCCTACCCAGCCAATCCCATCCTTTTTTCCGGTTAGAGTGACAGGTCAGCACCTCCCCCTGCAGCCATGTTGACCTTTATGGTACATGCGTGACTACATGTCTGGTTCCACCTTCAGTTCGGGACCAGAAGAAGGTAGGAGGGCTTTTCCCTTTGCCAATCGCTCTTGCTGGTCTTGTGCAGACAGCACAATGACTTCTTCCAGTGCCGCACTAGCAGCGTGGCTTCACCTGTGCCACCTTGGGCATTTCCTGTAGCCTTTCCTTCACTTGGGGCACCATGCCTGTATCAGTATGACTAGTTAGGAATTCAAATGAAAGAGGTGTTTATCTGTCTAAGGAGAGGAAGGAATGAAGCCTGGATGATTTTTTTTTTTTTGCTTCTGAGAATATTTCTGGCAGATATTTGGTATCACTTATTAGAATTAGAGATCTTTACCTGGAGACAAAATGGTAAGTTATTTTTACCTACTTAAAATTTTTTACAGTAATTTATTTTACTTATTCCTTATTATTTATGCAAAAGAGGAAAATCAGACAGTAAAGAAATTTGTAGTCATAGGTTGGTCTTTGCCTTTCATTGTTTTTGTTTATAATTAATATTGTTTTTTTTTTTTTTGCTTTTGGGTTGCCCTTCATACTAGATGAACAAAAGTTTTGAAGTTAACTGTCATCCAGTTTTGTGACTGTTTTTAGATAATTTTAGATTCAGGGTTTAAGTTAGGATTTAGGATCTTAGATTCATAGCATTTTTTCCCTACTCTCTGAATTTTATTTAGCTTCAGTTCTCTATTTTTTTACTGCAGAGTATAATAAACTGAATATTATAAACATAATAATGACAGAATTTAGCATATCTGCTTGTTTGCTTATAGAATATTTCTGAATTGTGGAGTCACTAATTTTAGGGCTTAATAATTCAAATTGAGAAATGACTATCAAATGATTATGTATAATTTCATAATTTCTAAGGCAGGCCTAATAAAGAATACCTCCTTTTCATCTTTGGTTTTGAATCAGTTGAGAAATGAGTGGCAGATGTGGGTGAAAAATATCAACTTTACTATTGATAAAAATTAATTTGAAAGATGTAGATTAGTGGGAAGCCAAATGGATCCATTAACCAAACCAGAAACCGGGCAGACTTGTATTTTCATGGCAGTGCCAATCCAGTGAGAAGGCTGAGGTCCTTCCTCTGAGTCCCTATGCAGATCCTCTCAACAAAGAAGAGGGAAGATGAGCCCAATACATTATATTCTTCCCAATCAGTCCATAAGGGGGCATGTTAGTTTCCTGAGGCTGCTGTAGCACATTACCGTAATCTTTGTGGTATAAAATAACAGAAATTTATTCTTTTACCATTCCATAGGCCAGAAATCTAAAATTAAGGTATCATCAGGGTTGGTTCCCTTTGGAGTCTTTGAGGGAGAATCTGTTTCATGCCTTTCTCCTAGCTTCTGGAGCTATGGGTAATCTTTGTTGTTCTTTGGCCTATAGATGTGTAATGCCAATTTCTGTGTCCATCTTTACATGCTTTATTCCCTGTGTCTTCATGTTTATTTTTCCTTCTCTTGTCTTATAATGACAAGTCACCATTGGATTTTAGACCCACTCCAATCCAGGTTCATTTCGTCTCTGGTTACTGATCTTAACTATGTATGCAAAGTCCCTTTTTCCAAGTAAGGATATGTTTACAGTTCCATGTGAATGTATTATTTTAAGAGACCACTATTTAATCCACTGAAAAGGATGGAGAGGCCAGGAGTTAGAGTAAATAACTAAACTTGCTGCTTGCTAGAAAATATCAAGAGTTGGGGGCAGGTGTTCCTCCCTAGCATTCCACGGCTTTTTGTTCTTAGGGTCAACCAGAGGTAGGAGATCAGCAAAAATGGGCCCCTTCCTACCCTGTATTTGTGTCATTGGCATGACCTTTGATAGAATCTTTTAAAGCCATTGGTACATTTTGCGAGTATTAATCGTTAAAACTAGGTAAAATATATATCCACTTAACTGTGCACAAATAAAAGGCAGCTTACTACAATACGTTGAAAGCAAACAACCAGTGAGGGTGCCATGTCAACACCCTTGGGATGTGTGTAACTTCCAAAATTCCACAAAGATGCCTTGTGAGCTCTATGTCACATGGACTGAATGAGGGTTTCTTTGTTGCTCAGTATATGAAATATTATGAAAGTTTAATTTCTTTCTTACTAATAATTAAAAAGAAATAAGTGTTTCCCTTCCTCACCTAAATGGATGTGCACTTCTTAGGATGCATGAATCCCACTTCAGAACACATAGGTCTAGATCATTATTGATTGTCTAACAGAACTTTTTGCAGTGATTTAGACAGTCTTTATCAGTTTTGTCCAGGTATAGAATACTTGAATGTGGTTAATGAGACTGAAGAATTGAATTTTTAATTTTATTTTTTTAATAGACATGTGCTTGGTGGACTGTATTAGACAGTGCAGACTAGATATTTGTCGGTGTCTAGCCAAAGGTGTCCAACCTTCTGGCATCTCTGAACCACACTGGAGGAAGAGTTGTTTTGGGCTGCACTTTAAATACATTGTGACACGTAATCACACACACAAAAATCTCATACTCTTTTAAGTAAATTTACGATTTTGTGTTGGGCTGCATTCACAGCCATCCTGGGCTGCAGGTTGGACACCCCTAGGCAATAAATATTGGGAGTAGTAAAATACAGGGAATGTCTTTATTCTAATGACATTAACAAAAACAAAAGGAAGTTCATCCTGAATTAGCAACTTATCTACACTTACTGAAGGTTTCGTTTGAACTTGGAATTTTTGTTAATGACTAAAAATTAGATGGCATTTTAGTCTCTTTTCTCTAACTATATTATCTAGGCCTTTAACAAAATTATTCCTTTGCAAGCTGGTAAATACTGGTACTGGTAAATGCAGAGTAGAAATTTGTCAACTTGGGGACATGCTTACATGAGAAATTAACTGTAAATGCCAATCATTTCACATTTCTCTTTGTTGAAAGTTTAAAACCAGTATACACAGAAAGTTTTTATTTAAAAGACTATAACAGAAAATATTTTTTCATTGTAGATATACCATTTAAAGGTATAATATTTAATAATGTGAAAGTATTACTTTATGTTAAATTTATTTTTCAACCAAAAACAGATTTTGTTATTTCCCAATCATGCCACAATTGTGTCATTTCATAGCGTGTTTAACCTAATAGCCAGTTCATAAGTTATATTTTTGCCTTTGATTGATTGTGGCCAGAGAGAACATTTTTTTTCTCATTGATAATGCCTATAATATAGTGTTAGATTTAAACTCATTTAAAAAGGAAATGTGAAAGTAAATATAGTTCATATTTCTTAAACTTTATGTAGTTTAAGTTTTAGAGTATTGTAGTCTTTATTTATGCCAGGAGAGGGTGTACATTAAATTTGAGGTTTTTGAGCAAAAGAGCATTCCTTTTAACGACTGCTGTAAAGTTGCTATTTCTCAAAAATATTACAAACTCTTTAATTCCAGAATATTCTTTAATGTACATGGGAGGAGAAGGGAGATCTGTAAGAATGATTTAGAGCACATAAGACTAAAAACATCTATTAATACACCTTTCAGCCAGAAACATAGTTTTGTTCTCCTAAAGTTTTCATGTCACTTTCTGGAAATGAATTCAGAATTTTTTTTTATATTCTCTAGGAGACTGTTTTGAAGTTTTATCTTTAAATACAAAAGACAACCCCAGTATATGTTATATCATTTCAATTTTGACCTTATTTAATTGAAATTATCATTATAAATTATAATGCATGACCGTTAAAGAAAAGAGATCATAAATGAAAACAAATCTATGGCTAGAAAGTGATAATTTATTTCTTTGTGTTTCCACAGCTTGAAGGTCCATGCGTTTTGCAAATTCAAAAAATTCGCAATGTTGCTGCACCAAAGGATAACGAGGAATCTCAGGCTGCACCAAGAATGCTGCGTTTGCAGATGACTGATGGTCACATAAGCTGCACAGCAGTAGAATATAGTTATATGTCAAAAATAAGGTGATTGGCACTTTATTTTATATATTTGTTACAGTGTTTTATGTGCTGTTCAAGATGGATTTTATTTTAGGAACTTTGAAAAGAAGGAATGAACTCTTAAGCATATTACAATTTTTCAGAAAAAATTAAAAGTTTGTCTTTATTTTATCTGTATAGAAAAATAGTTAAGAAAGGTGTTAGTTACTCCTTGTTTCAATGTTAATTATAGAAACACAAATTTAAGGTGTTCTTGTATGGAAAATAATCTTTTTAATTATTTTCAGTAAGTTTTAGGTCATTCAAAAATTTCCTAGTACAAACAGAATTTTTTTAACTACATTACAGTCTAGTTCTTGGACAATGAGCTATGTCCATCACCACACTATTTAGTGTACAAAAGTTCATAGGCTAATGAGTTTTCTAAGGAAATGACTAACACTAGGGAGGTTTGTATGCCACCCTACTGGAACTCCATAATAGAAAAATTTTCCAAATCCTTCTTTTGGCTCTTTTCATGAGAGGCTTTTAGAGTCAGGCCTGTTAGAATGGAGAAAAGCAATGGGGGGTGGGGGTAGGAGTGGGAGAGTCTCTTTTTTCTGAAGTGGAAATTTTCATTAGACATTTGTAATCCCCCTTTTTTTGTCGTCTTAGTCATTTTATCTGTTTATGTTTGCTGCTTTGAACTTACTATTTAATGTAAATTTTGAGACTATACTCTTCTCCTGAGTAAGCATTTGACAAGTATGTAGCATCTATTGTGTTTCAGTTCCTTACCTGGAGCTGGGGGTACAAAGGTAAACAAGGTTTAGATTTTGCCACTAGATAGCTCATATGCTAATGAGAGAGGCACATAGGCTTATAAATTATAATAAACATATAACTGAAAGGACTAGGAGTCTAGAAAAATTACCTTTACTTGGAGGAGCCAAGGATGGGACTTAAAATATGAATAGATGCTTTGACAGAGATGAGAGAGGAATAGCACATGCAAAGACATCGTGTTCTGACAACAGGTGAAGAAACGTTTCCTCTGAAGGAGCTATGTGGCAGAAAGTGTGGAAGGTTGAGACCTTGAATATACCATGCTGAGTGATTCCCCTTCTTTGTTTTTTTTCCTTCAACCAGCATCTTTCTCTCTAGTAAGGGTACCTGCTTCCTTAGAAGATATATGTTTGTTTAAAATGTTGATTTCATATACAAAGGGGGGTTATTGACTTTGTGATTATGTTGTTTTCTTCTTGAAGAGTAGGAGGATTCCTGCTTTTGTGAGAAATACAGCCTTTCCTTTGACAAATTCAGTGAGACCCCCTACAACGGAGTTCACAGATGACTCAGATGGTAGACTGACCACATAATGGCTCATTCTCTGATTTTATGGCTGAGTGTATCTATGAGGTAAATGAAAGCAAGATTAGCCCAGAGAGGAGGGTCTCTTATGCTATCCACTGCCTCCTTTCTTTGAATTTATTACAGTTTGAGAATTGAAAAAATCATTGCTTCTTGCTCATTCCCTCATTGAAATAGCATGTCTACTTTGTTGCTGTAAAAGCCACTTCAGAACTGTTCTAACATGAACAATTTGGGAGACTATTTTCAAAATACATTTGGTTAGTAGTTATCTTGGAAGGTAGAACTGACTAGGGGGGATAAACAAAGAGCTGGTACAGAATGTGTTGCTTACAGTGGGCATTGCATTTTTCTGGGGTGCTTCTTTCCACTCTTTCATCCTATGTCTTGCCTCACTTCTCCCTATTTTCTTGTTTTTCTGTTTTGCTTAAAACAGCAATACAGAGAGAGTAAAGGTACTCTGGGGTGCCAATAAAGATAATAATTAAACCAAAATATGTTCTCTGAATTAGAGTTAGTTATGGCCCTGAAAGTGATGCAATAAACATTATTTTAAAACTTTAGCACCTACTTATCCTTTTCTGGGAGTGGGGCTATAATTTAGTCTGTTGAGTGCAAGTCTTTGTCAGTTATCATAATGAAATTGTGATACCAAACTCAGGTCCAGCTGCCTGCACTCTGAAAGCCAATACTGTAGAGATGGGTGCTGATGTAAGGAAAGGCAGTTTACTCAAATGCAGCAGCCCTAGAAGATGGCAGGCTCCTGTCCTACAGACCACCTCAGCATCTCAGTGCAGGCAGAGGATTTTATTAGGAGGGAGAGAGATGGCACAACAAGGAGATTGGGGGAGGGGTTTGAAATTTTTCTATATGTAAATCAGCATAGTCTGTTTTGATGATTATCTTGAATCTGGTCAAGAAAAGGTGTGTTTTTGTTGTTGTTGTTGTTGTTGTCGTCATTGTTTAATGGCTGAGAGTCAGCAAGTCTCCTGGAGCCATAACATCCAGTTGCTGGCGTCAGCTCCCTTTGAAGTTGGTTCCTGGAACTCTTTCACAAATATGCTGTTTGTCTATGGGTTACATATTAGTTTACAGTTCATCTTTTCCAAAAACACGTTTAACAGAAGTGTTACAGGGATGTGTTACAGCTGTATTTAGGTCCATCCTCAAATAATTTGATTTTTTTCTTTTAAGTTTTAAAGTTATAGTGTCACAATTTTAATGCACCAGTAATTTGTATCCTATTTTTAAAGATCTTATGTAGTTTTTTATATGTTCATTTTATATAATTCTACATTTTTCAGTTTTACCAGTTCGTAAAAAATTATTGGCTAAAAAGATGGTTTTGAAGAATACACATGGGTTTTATGTAAATAATATATAAGTTTATTAGTAATTTCTTTAGAGATAAAGAGTACAGCATCCTGGTATCCTTGGTGTTTATTTTATTTATCCCTAAACAATGACTATAGAGTTATGAAAATTTGGATCTGCTGATTGCCTGGAGTTGGGAAGAACGTCTTCACTTAGTATGACTATTCAGCTGTTGCTGATCTTCAAGTGTGATCGATACTGTCCTAAGTTTACTATATATAACATAACAGAACTATACTTTAGGGGTAGGTAAGGCTGTTTATGACCCTTTATTTTGTAAGTTACATGTGATGACTAAGAATGATTAATGTTGGGGTCCTCAGAATAATTTTTATCAGATAATGTCTTTGAAAATGGTGTTGGAGGAGAGTCGTACAAATACCCTGGACCATCAGAGAAATGAACAAGCGAGTTCTAGAGCCAATTAAGCCTGAAACATCACTAGAGATTAAAAAAAAAAAAAAAAAAGACAAAACTGAAGCTATCCTCCTTTGGGCACATCATAAGGATGCAGGAAAAGACAGTGATGCTGGGAAAAATAAAAGACAGCAGGAAAAGAGGAAGATGAAGTGGATGGTTTGGAGATGGATGGACTTCAGAAAAGAAACCACAGGGCCTGGGCCTACAGGAGCTGAGCAGGGCTGTAGCGGACAGGACACCGTGGACGTCACGCATTCACAGGGTTGCCAGGAGTTGGAGCTGACTTAGTGGCCTGTTACACACAATGTCTTGCAATCTTTGAAGCTTTAAAAACAGGAATATTCTATTTCTTGTTGTTAATAACTATTTTATCAACTGTTTTTAATAGACCAGGTCTTTCACTGATTTACTATTGCATATATCAACACTTGGTGAATTTCATGAGCTTTTGAAATGTGAACAATGTAAAGCCATTTCAGCATGGTTTTCTAATTCATTCTAAGTGTTTTAGGACAGTTTTTACTCCTATTTGAAGTGCTTTGTCCCTTGTCAAATGTGCAAAGAGGTGGATGCGGTGGGACTGGGTATATGTGCTTTAACTTTAGAATAAACCGATGTGACAAAAATGTATTTCATGGATTTCTTCCATTGATTCTTTTACCCAAAGATTGGTAGCAGGATAAACATCTTGTCTCCAGTTTCTGTAAAAGGGGTTATGGTGTAATGTTTGTTCCCAAACTGAAAATATTAGTCTATTACAGAAAAATTCTTTTAATGTTAAGTGTGTTTTTATTTATCAGTTTATTAGTTCTACATGTAAATGAGATCATATGGTATTTGTCTTTCTCTGACTGGCTTATTTCACTTAGCATAATAATCTCCAGGTCCAGCCATGCAGTTTCAAAAAAGTTAGTATGTTTTAGAGCAGCAATTTTCAACCTCTTTCATCTCATGGCAGAAATGAACTAATTACTAAAACTCTGTGGCACATCAGAAAACATTAAATATTTTGCTGATCTGACAAAAAGTAGGTATGAGTGTAGTTTTGATTCATGCACAATGGATGACTATTGGTGTGTGGGCTGTGGTCATTTTTTTAAATTTGGCAATCTGAGGGAAAAGAGGCCAGTGCCTTTGACTAAATAGTCAGGTATTGCATGTTTTAAAAATTCCTGTGCCACACTGTTTGAAAAACCACTGTTTTAAACAAAACTCATTTGATCTTTAACTGCATGGTTAACGAGAAAGAGCGTTGTTTTCCTCTGACCGTTGTGGCTCAGTTGGTTGGGCATTGCCCCACAAAGTGAAAGATTGCTGCTTTGAGTCCCATTGAAGGCACATGCCTGTTGTTGCAGATTTGGTCCCTGTTTGGAGTGCAGGTAACCAATTGATGTTTATCTCTCACATTAATGTTTCTCTTCCTCTGTGTCTCCCTCTTTTCCCCTCTCCCTAAAAATTAAATAAGTAAAATCTTTTTTAAAAGGTTATTATTTTTTGTGCATTATGGTAGCTCATATAGATGTAAAATTTCTAGGAATATTACTGGTCAGATATCTTTTCCTGTAATAAAATTTAATTTTGTAATATAGTATATCTTTGCAATGTATAGCCAAAGCTCAGAGAAAAAAATAGCAAATCATATTTGTGCAGCATGGCATTACTGAGAAAATAACTTTCATAGCTTTTATTATATTTATCTTTACCATGCATTTATGAGGTATGAATTTTATTGTCTGGGTTTTTTTTTATTCCTAAAAAATAGTTTTTATGTTAGCTGATTTTGAAGAACTTGACAAAGTCATAATCTGAGACTGACTCACAGTTTTGAGAAGGAGCTTCAGCTTGTCTTAACTTTGCTTTTTTCTTTGCTTTAGCCTGAACACACCACCTGGAACTAAAGTTAAGCTCTCAGGCACTGTGGACGTAAAAAATGGATTCCTGCTCTTGAATGACTCTAATACCACAGTTCTTGGTGGTGAAGTGGAACACCTTATTGAGAAATGGGAGTTACAGAGAGTAAGTGTGAACTAAGAAGAATGTCTTCAACTTTTAAAACATTACACTCTTTTTGTTGCATTCTGTGTTTTAAGGATACCTTTCCATAATGAATAGTAACATTATTCCTTGTGTCAGAGTTGAATAGAATGGAGTACAGGGATCTTTATAGAAAGTATCTTCCTTTGTTTAAGTACATTGTTCCTCTAATGCAGATGTCATTTTTCAGTATTTTTTCACTTATTTTTGAAAATTCATGTTTTACTGACTAGTTTTCAAAACAAGTTATACCTTGTGTGTAATGTATATAATTGTTTATGCAAAAACAAGTGTTTGCACATATACACACAATAATACATCTTTCTCTCATCTACATGCATGCATACATACATACATACATACATACATACATACAAGTGAGTACAAGTTAGAATTTCACTGCATTGAAGGGGTTCTTGTGACTAGGTGCTTCCTGGTCACCTTAGGTGATGTTTCCCCCATGTGTGTTAACAGTATCTTCACCCTTGTAGTCATGTAGTCTGTCTAGTAATTGTTTTTTCACTTTGCTTCCGTTAACCAGTTCTCTGGATCCACTGCAGTCAGATCTCATGTCTGTCCCTTTCTTCCCAGATGGATTGCTGTTATGATAATTTAAGTCTTAGTATCTCTTGCCTGGACTGCTGCAGTAAACTTTTAACTGATCTCTATATATATTCTTTCTCCGTCTTCTAATCTAGTTTATGCACTTCTGCCATATTATCTTCCTTAAGCATAACTCAGAACAGATCACACCCTGCTTTTATTTCAAATGCCTTAGTTTAGGATTCAGTTCCATTTATAACCTAACCCTAGTTCCAGTTTACCTTTTCAACTCTCTAAATTTTTTTTCATAGATTTTGTTTCAGCCAAGTGGAACTACTTTATCTTTGATTCTCTGTGCTTTCCTCAGTTATATGTTTAACTAAAAAAAAAAAAAGAGTGTTCCACTATACACCATTCATCTTGTGTTCTCCTTCCAAATCCCTGCCTGGCCAAATTGTCTTTGTGCTTTTAGACTCAGATCAGATGCTTGTTTCTTCACAAAGTGAAACTGTGGCTCTTTTATTGAATTCTTGGGACACTTTAGCCATGTTAAGAAGTGTATTACTTTTTACCTGGCACTAAAATTATGTTTATTTCTTTTCTCCTTTAATAGATGATAGGCATCTTAAGGTCTGAATTTTTGTTTGTGTCATTTTTGTTTAGTTCTACAAATATTTGCTGAAAAGTGTGTAGGTATTGTTCTGAGTTCTTGTATCTATATATCATGCAATCCTTTTAATAGTCTTGTGAGGGGGGTTTTATGTCCATATAGATCAGAAAATGGACTTTAAGACCTGTTAGCTAACTTGCTTTATGATTATGTTATTGGTAGAAAACGAGTTCTTATGGTGTCACGAGGAAATAAATTTTCTGAACTGGCACGGGAGGATGGGGCTCTGTGGTATGGTTTATTAATGATGTGTAATTAAGGGGGTTTCCCTCCCAACTTCCCAATGTCCCATCTCCATCCGTCTCACCAAAGAAAATGTCCGGCATTGTCCTCAGTAAGGCCAAGACAAAAGCCACTGTGCAGAGTTTCTACTTCATTTTAAAGTCAGGTCCACTCCAGCGTCCAGCTAGCTTAGGGTATGTTCGCAGCAGCAGTCCATTGTTGTGCTGCAGTATTCAGGCTCCCTCCTGGAGCCCGAGTCTGCAGTCCCCACAGCCATGGGTCATGCGGCTGCTCAGGCAACATGGCCACGGAGTAAAGAAGATAGTGCACCACTCAAGTGAGGGTCATCGGGAGAGAAAGGGAGAGAGAAAGAGAGCTTAGTTTTTTGGAGCCTGCAGGTGTTTGATGATAAGTGGTGACAGTCCCTATCCAGGTATCTTAGTTTGTGTTTCCAGCTGCTCTGGTGGCAGAATCCACATGGCTGCTGGCCATGTGGCTGCTAAGGCCACATGGCTATGGAGAGAGAACATGAGAGCGCATGGGGCAAACACGTTGCCAGGTGAAAGAGTGACAGCACTTCTCTGTTTCCCTGGGATTATAACCAGGAGCTTGGCTTGAGATGGACCAGGTGCTATTTCAAAAGAGCCAATCAACTTTCCATGCTTTTGTGGGCTTCCATAGGTTTACACCTCTTAGTTAAACTGACAGGCCTTTATCGTCCAGCACCTCCTCCTATAACCCCCAACAATCCATCACAGGGCAGAAGGAGGGGTGTTAATCCTCTTGGCAGAGCACAATGCTGTGGTCCCCTGGAGTGTGAAGCTGTAGCTTCCCGGTGGAGCAGACAGGCTCATGCATCCAATTTTATGAAGCTCAATGTCTAAGTGCCTTAGCTCCCCTTTGCTAGCTAAATACTAAGGTAACCATTAGACTGCTAACAGGTGATGATCTGAGCATTCCTGTATCTCCACCTGGTAGCTCTGAGTCTTACATGTAATAAATATTATAACATAATTGTGAAATGAAGGAATCACAAAACATATAAAGCTAACTACTCCTTAAGCTCAAATTGATGTTCTTGTGCTATTCTCAAATCTTGCCTAAGTGAGCCAAGTGGCCTAGCAGTATTTCAAGCTTTGGTATTTTATGATATATTACTTTTTTCTGTTTTCTTAGATGGAAAGTGTACCTGTTGGGGGGGTAAATAGATAATGAGAATTAAGAACAGTTTTTATTTCCTAGTGCTCATTCCTTATGATAATAATAAGCTACCTTTTCGACTGCTATACTATGTAGTATAAGATAATGCTTCATAACTTTGTTGTTTAGTTGAAAACATTACAAAAGCAAGTACATGGTTGGCTCTTTACATAAAGAGCCAAGTTTGTGAACTTTGAATTTCCCAGCGAAATCCCACTCATTTTATGTGGTCCTTTCTTTTACAAGTTGGTATTTTATAGTTTGTATTATAATTAGAGTTTTTAAAAAATGTAATAAGGTGTTCTAAAGTCGGACCAACATCTTACATAATTTTCCCAACTAAGCCAGAATTATTACTACTTCACTGACTGAAAAGTCAGTTATCACTCTAGGAACTTCCTTGTTCCCCACACACCTGCATGCAGACACATGCACGCAGATTAGTAGTAGTTTGATAGTTGTCCTTGTAATGCTTTATTGTATATCTTTGCACTTTGTTTCCTGAAAGCCTATTAGTATTTCTTGTAAGGCAGCAATAAAAATTTACATTAAAAAGAGTTTAAAAACATCTTAATATAATTATAGTTCTCTTTGGTTTTATATTTTTTTTGATTTGGTAACCATAGTGATGTGGAAACCATGGAGAGTTCAGTTACTTGAGCATCTGGCAGGTAGTACACATAGGAATCATAAACCATGGAGTTAATTTGGGAATTAAAAAGACTCTAAATATTATTATAAAATAAATAGGGGAAGAGACTATTGAACAGTATTTAAACTATATGTGGTGTTGTAGCTGTAGCAAGCTGATTATATACTCGGGGGGGGGGTGGGGGGGGCGTGGAAGAAAAGAAGAAATGTGTTTATCTTCCCAAAGTGAAACTCTGTACCATTAATCATCAACTTTCCATTCCCCTCCTCCTCCCAATCTCTAGCAACCATGATTCTACAGTACTTTCTGTCTCTATAAATTTGACTACTTTAGGGACCTTATGCAAGTGGAATCACACAATATTCTTTTGTGTCTGGCTTAGTTCACTTAACATAATGTCTTTTAAGTTTCATTCATATTGCAGCATGTGTCACAATTTCTTAACTTTAGGCTAAATAATCTAGTGTGTGTGTGTATCTGTATCACATTTTGTTCATTCATCACTGATAGACATTTAGCATTGTTTTTAACTTTTTTGGCTATTGTGAATAATGCTGTTATGAGCATGGGTGTATAAATATCTGTTCAAGTTTCAGCTTTTAGTTCTTTTGGGTATATAGTTAGAAGTAGATTCAGGGATCACGTGGTTATAGTTTAACTTTTTAAAATAACTGTCATTTGGATTTCCACAGTGACTGTACCATTTTACATTCCAATCAGCAATACACAAAGGATCCAGTTTTTCTACATCTTTGCCAACTTGTTATTTTATGTTCTTTATTTTTTTAATATTAACTATCCTATTAGGTGTGAAGTGGAATCTTATTGTGGATCTGATTTGTATTTCTCAAATGATTAGTGATGTTTGGCATTTTTTTCATATGCTTATTGTCCATTTGTATATCTTCTTTGGAGATATATGGTCTATTTAAGTACTTTGCCAATTTTTTTAATTGGTTTGTTTTTTTTCTGTTTGATTTCTGAATATATTCTGAATATAAATTCCTTCTCAGTTACAGAATTTACAAATGTTTTTTTATATTTCATGGATTTCCTTCTTACTCTGTTGATACTGTCCTTTGGTGCACAAAAGTTTTTAGTTTTGATGAAGTTCAATTTTATCTTTTTGTTTTCTTTTGTTACTTGTACTTTTGGCATCATATCCACAAAATCATTACCAAATCCAATGTCATGAAGCCTTCTCCCTCTCTTTTCTTCTAGAAGTTTTTATGGGTTTAGTTCTTAATTAGGTTTTTGATTCATTTTGAAATAATTTTTGTATATGGTATAAGAACACAGGTAAACTCTTTTGTAATGATTATTATTAAAAGTATACAGAAATGTTTAAAGTTAGGAGTTTATATTAAATGGCAACTAGCACCCTGGACAGTGTGGCTTAATTGGTTAGAGCGTTATTCCATAGATTGAAAGGTAGTGGGTTCAATTTCCAGTCAGGTCATGTACCAATTGGGAAAAAAATGACAAGAAGTGCTTAGCAATATATGTTAACATCTCAAAAATGAAACAAGTAGGAGGAATAGACAAATGAAAAAATCTTTCTGAAGGTTCTTAGTAACATTTCAAAAGAATTTATAATGTGATAAATTGCTTTTGCAAGGAGAATATTTTTTCCATATTCATAATACATTGTTAACTCTTTAATTTTAAATATGAGAGTTAGAGGGAAAAACAAAATTAGTAGAGGGATGGGAGATTATTTATATTAATCAATTGTTGGTTGAATACTTCAAAATGTAAGTTGATTTTCAAAAGTCTTTTTTGTTTGTTTTTTATTTGTCTTGTTATTTTGAATCATCAAATCTTTAATTCATTCCATATATCTGGCACAAGAAAGTGTTCTGATTAAAACAAGTTATCACAAAGGAAATTTTATTCTAATTAAAAGTAATCACTATATCATAAACTGTAACAATTTGATCTTTTTAAATAATTAAAAATCACTGTTATCAGTATACCTATAAACGGTTTTGATGTGGACTTCGACCAGCGGGGTCCATGTGTTGTGGCTGCGATTAACAAATTCACACGGACTACAGAAGTCCTGTGGAGAAAAAGGGACGGCATGGCCACTGTCTAAGTGAGAGAGAGGGCCCCAACGCCTGCCTGGACAGGCTTTTATTGCTTTTCTGGGTACATTACATTGAGGATGGTCCTCATTTACTCTGCACAGGTTCACTTTGGGTGATTGATTACCTATTACAGATAACAAAGGAAAGAATGTTGCTAATTACCTCAAAGAAAAAGGATATTTGCAAATACAAGGGGAAGGGTGGTCAGACTGGTTACACTCTATATTTGGGAGGTTTAACACAGACTCTAGGAAGCTATTTTAAAGATACGCAGTAAACATCTGCTGCCTCAATCCAGAGTGAGGGAGTTTTAGCAAAAAGCAAGCCTCAAAGCAGCCTAGGTACAATGCACGCCTGATTCCCCACAGGAAAACTGATCCGTGGGCTCAGCTCCTGTGTGCCAATTCGCTCCCCATTGGTTTTCTGAATCAGGGGCTGGGCTACATTTTCCATGCCATGCAGATAGGTTGCTTATACTGTTTCTAGTGAAAACACTTTGGAACCCTGTTCCAAGAACTGGGGATAAAGACTAATATGTATTTCTTATTATACTGCAATATAACAAGTATGTTGTTTGCTAATAGATTTTCTGCCTCAACAATTTTATTTTAAAGGTGATTTCTTAATATTTGATTCAGACAAATATTTTAATATGGTTTAAAGTAAAATTTTTGTTACTGAAGTATGTAATATTTGAATTTACTACTTGTTGAGGAGATTTTTACTGTGTTTTGTTCTTTTCTTTTTAATCCTCACTTGAGGACACACTTATTAATTTTAGTAATAAAAGTGAAGGGAGGAAGAGAGAGAGGGAGAGAAACATTGACATCAATTGGTCACCACTTGTATGCACCTGGACCAGGCATGGAACCTGCCACCTAGGCACGTGCCCTGACTGGGAATCAAACACACAGCCTTTTGGTTTATGGGACGATGCGCCAACCAAGCCACACCAGCCAGGGCTGTGTTTTGTTCTTATGGGAACATCTTAGAAAAAGGTTGTGAATGTGTGTTTTGTACGGGAAGATTAGGGGAGAGCCTCTGCCTAATTATTGAAGTTAGGAATAAAATATTTTGTCTAGTTTGACAATAATTTATGAAAGCCTTTTTTAAATAAAAACATACTAAAATAAGTAGATTCCTGGTGCATTGTAAATGTAAACTTTTTAACATATATTTTTTGTTTTGTGACTCACTTTCTTCACAGAGCTTGTCAAAACATAATAGAAGCAATATTGGAACTGAAGGTGGACCACCCCCTTTTGTGCCTTTTGGACAGGTAATGACATTCATATTGGCAGATGTAATTTAATCAACAAAAGGTATTTTTCATTTGTGTCAAGCTGTTTTTAGTTTTGTGCTGAACTATTCATTCAGAGGTCAGAGAGTTGTATGGAAATATACTCAGTAAAGGAATTTAATAATTGCTTTTTTTCTTTACTGCAATTAAATCATGGGTGTAGGTGCTTTTCTCAAGAGCTGTTAACCCAAAGATTGAAGAAATTAAGAGGCACACCTGAAGAGCAGTTAATAACTAATTAAGATAAGATGGTAGTGGAGCATTTTTTTTTGAGAGGAATGCAAAAGAAGATAAAAATATGCTATAATTTCTCATTTTGTTTATCAAAATAAAAGAGGGAACAATAAAACAAAAGTGTCAACAGAAGGAGACAAGACATGAGAAGACAGGGGGCAAGGAAGGGGCATCGTTGCACTTTCAGAGAGCCTGCAGTCCCGGGCGCCCCTTTCAAGGTTCTGTTGTCTTCCTTGATCCAAATGCCCATGTCATGCAGGGACATAGTTTTGTTTTCAGAGGGATTTTTTTTTTCAATCACAGCTACACTGATCCTCCTGTGACATAAGCTAAAGGTTACTGCAACATGTTACCTTGGGGTAGCTGCTCAGCGGGCTGGTATCTTGCGACTTCCTGGTTGTGCTCAGCAGCAGACTGCATTCAGTGCCATCTCCTCTAGCCTGTCCCTGCTGTATCCCTGAGCAGTTTGAGAATAATCCCTATGACAGCTTGCTCTTTGCCACACGATGCCACCAGATTTAGCTATTTGTATTCCACCTTGCGTTTGTTCTTTATTTTTCGTTGAGACTATGGGCTCAGATGAGAGTACTGAGGGTGAGTTAGAGACCCAACAGGTAGGAAACAGAGACCTGTGTATCTGTAACAGCTTAAAAAAGATTTTATGTGAAAAGGGTGATCAGAAGATAAATGGGCAGGATCAGATGGTAGCCTCTTCAAAAACCTTTTTGTAGAGTCTAGTCAAAATTAAATAAAAGTAATTCTGGCATCATGTGTATTTTGAAAGAATTTTAAAAATATGTCCATTTTTATTGGGCTTTGCAACATGACACAGTGAAGATAAAAGGAGGCACGATGCCCTGTGGTGGGATCTGTGCTGGTGATGCCCTCACTTCTACTAGTGTAAGGAAAACCCCAGAATAAAAACAGAGTGTAAATATTCCAGTAATTTGTATTTGAAAGTAATAAGTGATATGTTTGTAAGAATATGCTTTTCCCTTAAACATTTTGGTGATAATGTTTCTTTTATAAATTGCTCAGACTTATTATTTAACTATTTATAAAAATTTGAAGTGTGTTTTACAATTTTTTTGCCTTAGGAAGGATAATAAAAGTTATAGTATCAATAATATTATTTGTTTATGAAGTCCATTCTGAAAAATTATTTTATTTATTTATTTTTTAAATATTTTACTTATTTATTTTTAGAGAGGGAAGGGAAGGAGATAGAGAGAGAGAGAGAAACATCCATGTGCGGTTGCTGGGGGTCATGGCCTGCAACCCAGGCATGTACCCTGACTGGGAATCGAACCTGTGACACTTTGATTCGCAGCCCGCGCTCAATCCACTGAGCTATGCCAGCCGGGTGAAAAATTATTTTCATCTTATCTCAGCCTGTATATGGGTTAAAGGCAGATAATGCTGGCTGTCTATTGCTATGTACAGGATATATTTATTTATGTTGCTCAAAATCTGTGTTTGTATAAGACATTTGTTTGAAAGCATGTTTTCTTTGTTTTATCAATGAGTTGAGAAAAGGTTTATTGTATAGGATTTTTACTGCTACAAGTAGAAGGAAGAACTAGAAATCAGGGCTTATTTTTCAGCAATGATGACTTTCTCAATTTATTTTATGAGACTAAAAATAAAAAATTTTATATCCAGATTGAGGGACAGGGTTTGTTTTTAGCTTTTGGTTTATAAGTTCAGATACATCTTTTTATATGTTAAAATAACTCAACTACTTAACCCTCATAAGGATATTAAGGCATAATGTATGAATCAAGCTCTTAAAAAAACCTCAATTTATTTTTTCTTGTGTAATAGTACAGATAGTTTGAAATTTAAATTATTTTACATCATTTTCCTAAAATGAAATTTAGATCTCCTGCTTTCATGTGTGTTGTAAATATGGGCCCTGTTTTAGGCGGGCACATTTTTGTCAAGCTTTCCATTGTATTTACTGATTACACTTATATAAAAGTTACTTTGATCAGTTTTCTACTTTTATTTTTAAGTGTATGTGAAAGAATTATATTTTTATGGGCTCTCAGCTGTTGTGATACAAACTTTATTGAAGAGATAATACTTTATTATGAAGACCTTGAATCTCCTTGGGAACTACTGAAATGGCTGATTTTTATTTATTATTACCAGAAGTGTGTATCTCATGTCCAAATGGATAGCAGAGAACTTGATCGAAGGAAGACACTGCAAGTTACAATGCCTGTCAAACCTGCAAATGATAATGATGAATTTGAAAAGCAAAGGACTGCTGCTATTGCAGAAGTTGCAAAGAGCAAAGAAGTAAGAAACTAAATAGTAATATATTTTTCTTATTTCTTATCATTATGTTCTATTTAGATTACTTATAATTACTATTGTTTTTTCACATATGGTAACTAATACAACAAACTTTTGACATTCTCCAGGTATCAGCAGAAAATCCCCTGGTACATATGGAGTCTCAAGCTTACACCCTGGGTCCAATGTTCTTTTTCCAAATCCTCTCGACAATCCCATTAAGTTACTCTTTCTAGCAACCACACTTCTTTTCTTTTCTTTTTCTCCCTTTCTTTTCTTTTAACATTGTAGCAGCTGAACCCAAAGCTTTTTATTTTCAGTAGAGGGTTTCCTATCATTGGTCGAGCTTGATAACACTTTTTGAGGATAATTTTCTCCTGTAATTTTTCTCTTGGTGACTTCTGAGAATGCAGGCAAAAATCAGAGGATAATCAGTAGTACCTCAGACTTAACACCTGTTAGTTTTCATTCTTAAATCTATTTAATGTATAGTAAAAAATATTTTTTCTTAAGATCATGTATATATTTATGCATGTGCACATCCCCTTATTATGTACTATTAATATCCAAATGTTTTAAAAATTATTTTAAAATTCTTTCTTACTTGAAATATGTGTTTTCTCTAGTTATTGATTTTCAGACTTTAATAATAGATTTTAATTCATGAATTAGTAGTTTAGACAGGCTTTTCTTAATCAGTAAGATTGAAATAGTTTTCTTTATCAACATCAGTAACGAATCTTAGCTAACTGCTCTTCTATTGATACACAAAGTTGAAGGAGGAGACTTCTTGCATTTTGGTTGTTCTTCTGCAGCATGTCTTCCTATCATCGTCAGTCTAGTGTAGAGGCCAAGAGCACAGACTCTGGGATGAGGCAACCTGGAAGCATATCCTGCTGACAAGCTTGGATATGTTACTACATTTTGTAACCTGTTTTTCTTTATCTATGAAAAAAGATAATAATGGTACCTACTTCATGTAGTTATGGTGAGAATTAAAATTGATAATCTTGAAAATATTTAGAATGCTAGATGCCACAGATCATCATATTCCTTTGCTAAAAAGCACTTGATAAACATGACTATTGACATTTTTTAGTATTTTCTCTACTGTAAAGCACATTTAAAAAAATGATTTTTAATAATTCTGAAATTAATACATTTTACACAGTTTACATGAAATATATTTCTTTTTCCCAAAAAGCTACTAAAATTTTGGAGTTTCAGAAGAGGATATTGGGGATATATCAAATTCTTAATGACTTTGGGAAAGTTCTTTTGATTTATACTTTTCTTCAACTTTTCTCTCAAAATTTTGGTTGATGTGGTTACTACTATTTATTTACTGGAACATAGTTAACATACTGTAATACGTTTCATTTTTTAAAGTCATAATTGATCATGTTATATTTTCCCATAAGTATTTGATAAGTAAAAAGTCATAGTTATCTGAAGAACACTTAACTTCTCAATTTATATATGATGGAGTTGATGGAGGCTGAGAAGTTACCTGAGTTTACCCAGTGACAATTCTGGGACTAAACCTATGTGTATTACAGTAGATTATATCTGTATTTGTATATCTCTATATATTGATAACTGTACATGCATATTTATGTTTAATCTTTCTGAACATCAAAATCATGTAACAATGTAATTGTTCTAAAAGGATGTTTTAGGATCTTTCATCAAAATACTTATATTGATTTGGTGAAATCTACTACAAATGACTAAGTGATGATTTTCATTCTGTTTTTTTTCCTTTATTCCTTTGTTGAGCAACTATTTTTTTGAGAACCTGCTGTATGCAGGAAGCATTTTAAATGCTTAGGTTAAATCAGTGAACAGATAGACAAATGATCCCTACCCCTATCAAGCTTATATAATTGTATGGGTGACAGACTAATACATAATAAGTATATAAGTTTATGTAGGTTAGAAGTTGGTAAGTGCGATGGAGAACAAAGGAAAAGTAGATTAAGTTAGGGAGTTTGGAGTGCCATTTGTGGGGCAGGGATACAATTTAAAAGAGGATGCTCAAAAATAGAGAATTCTTTGCAATTCTTGTGTAGTTTACATACTAGTAAAGACAGTAAATTTAGCATGTAAACATACTAAATGAGTAAATTATAGATTTTAGTTTTAAATGTAGTAGTTTGAGTAGGCCTCATCATAATGAGATTTGAGCAAGACTGGAAAGATAAGAAATTAATTATGTGGTTATCTGAGAGGCTTATTGTAAGGAGAAGGAAAAGCTGTTGTAAAGGATCAAAAGTAGGAGTATATTTTCAGGGAAATAGCAAAGTGACTAGTGGAAGCAGAAAGAGCAAAGGGACAAGTAGTAGAATGTAAAGTTGAGTGATAGCGGGGTTCTGCCTGTATAGGCTCCTGTAAGCCATCTTAAAGACATTGGCCTTTATTCAGAGAGAAATGAGGAGCCTCTGGAGGATTTTCAGCAGTAACATCAGCTGACTACATTTTTTAATATATATTTTAGAGACAGAGGAATGGAGAAAGTGAGAGAGAGAAAGAAGGAGAAAGAAACTGATTTGGTACACTTATTTATGCAGTTTTGGCTGTTTCTCGTATGTGCCCTGATCAGGGATTGAACCCACAACTTTGGCGTATTGGGATGACACGGCATGCTAACTAACTGAGCTACCTGCATTTTAAAAGTCTAATTCTGGCTGTTGTGGTCAGAACAGATTGTAGAGCAGAAGGATTGGAATCAGACAAGTTAGGAAATTATTGATGTAATCCAGGTGGAGAAAAATGGTGGTAGTTTGAATGAAGATGGCAGCAGTGCAGGTGGTGCAAAGTGGTCAGATCTGGAATTTTGAAAGTAGAGTTATCAAGATTTCTGACAGATTGAATGTGGCACATGAAAGAAGAAGCAATGTCAGGAATAATTCCAAGGGCTTTGTCTTGAGAAATTAGCTGCGTAGAGTTGCTTATCTTGAATTAGAGAGGACTGGGATAGAACAAGTTGGAAGGAGAAATATTTGGTGTTTTGTTTTGAACCTATTAATGTTGAAGTACCTAACAGATATCCTTGTGGCAATATTTGATAGGCAGTGAGACAGAAGAGTGTAGTTGAAGGGTGAACTTCAGAATAGATATATGGATTTGAGAGTTGTAGTCATATGGTTGATATTTAAAATCATGAGTTAAATGAGATCACCAAAGGAATTAGGGCTGATACGGAAGAGAAAAGTGTAAGGAATGAACACGGTAGCATTTCAGCCTTACAGGTTGGATGAGGTTGAACCAGCCAAGGTATCACTGATAAGATAGGATGAAAACAAGACAATGCAGAAATTGTATCATGGAAGAAGGAGTGTTGAACTTACCAAAGACTGTTGAAAAAATCATGTAAAACGTGGCCTGAGAACTAATGTAGAATTGGGGAAGTCATTCATTCACTCCACATTATTCTTAACATTCATAGAGGTGGTGTTAAGATAAAGTATAAGTGTACAGATACCAGTGGTGGGTTGTTGTGGTGAAAATTGTTCAAGTTCTTCAGTGATTATTTTAGTTATTTCAGTGAGGGAGTAGGTAAGGCCAACCATGACAGTGGGGTAGAAGATGAGATGCTGGAGGCTTGAGTAGTGAGGAGAACAGGTAAAACACTGGTCTAGAAGATTGAGAGGTTGGATGGGCTGGGGAAATGTAGGAATATTGCTAGGCAGCATTGAAGGCCCACTTGAGTTTCATGGTCATGGTGATCTCACATATGCTTAATTCACATAGTATGCACAAGATGATGTGGCTCATAAAGGATATCACTTGCCTTATGGATAATGTTTAAGTTGTAATGTTTCTAGATATTTATATGTTTAGTGAGTAACAACTGCTTTAAAGTACTGAAAAGCAATACTGAAAATACTATTTATCCTATTTCTTAATCCATAAAATGGAAAGAAAATAATAAGGAAATGTAACCAGAAGATGAGATTATTTCACTGGCACCAAAAGAAAAAATACTTTTGGAGTTACAGAATTTAAATTCCAGGAATATATTTAATTTGGAACAGGTCAGGCTCCAGACTTTTCAGGTAACTATGTTTGAATATATTAAACAAAACAATAATATTATTGCCATCTGTTATGAGTGTTTACCGTGTACCAGTTACTGAATTTATCACTCATGTCAATGATGTCATTTGATTCTCAAAATATCCCCGGCAGGTGAATTTTCTCCTCTCTGTTTTAAGCATGAAAAATTGGAGGCCTATGGAAGGAGAAGGTTAAATGACTTGTCTCAGGGCAGGGGCTCCAGAGTGTGGCTGAGCCAAGGAATTAGTCCCACCTGTGTTCTTAACTATACTCCAGCCTAATGAACTTTGTATCTCATTAATATGAACTCACATTTTTTTTTTTATGGTTGTACAAGTAATAACTGTCAAGACATTCCAAATCTGTTTTTTTGCTGGGATTGCATAAACCAAAAATTACATGAATTCAGTAATACAGCTTTGGTTTTTGAAGATGACATTTTACTTTTGATTTGAATTAAATTCATATATTGTAATGTATCAACTACCTAGTAGAGATATTTACTATGTTGTCCATAAATGCTTATCTAACATCATTTTTCTGTTTTACAGGTTTTATTTCTTTATATTTCATCTGATCCAAAATCATTCCCCAATATTATATAAATTTATATCTAAGATGTTTTCTTACTGTAATCATTTTAAAACCTATTTTAAAATATTGATCACTATCGTTAATAAAATCAAGTCTTGACTTCCTCCTCTTTTATTAGATCTATTAGGTTGTAAAGATACTATATAGTGATGCTTAATTTAATATTATACAAGTAACAACTGTAAGATGCTTTTATTTTTATTTTTTTTAAGAGAGAGGGGAAGGGAAGGACAAAGAGAGGGAGAAAAAGCATTGATTGGTTGCCTCTTGCATGCCCCAGCTGGGGACTTGACCTGCAACCCAGGCATGTGCCCTGACTGGTTAATCGAACCAGCGACCTTTCGGTTCTCAGGCCAGCACTCAATCCACTGAGCCACACCAACCAGGGCTGTGAGATGCTTTTAAATCATGAATTTGTATTTTTTCAAACCAATGTTCTTTATGCTATAGTCTTTCCAGAATAGCTTTGATAAAACATAACTGAAATCAAGTAAAATTTTTAAATTTGATTATACATGTAATTATTCAAATAAGTTAGGCAAAATAAGAAATATGGACATTAAAATTTTCATATATGGTTGGTAAATCATAGCATATGTAATTAATATGAATAATAAATTAGTAATAAAAGTTTTAATCTATTGTTGAAATTTATATTGTTTGTTTGCCTTCTAAGATTATAGATTTATATTACTAGATTGCGGACATGATGTAACTGACTCTCAGATATGTTTAATGCCTTACTGATGATAGCCTTGCCATGTAGCTGGATTTGTAACCCAAGGATCATGATATTAGTCAAGTATGTCTACCCCAGAATTATTTTTGACACCCATTCTCCATAGTGCTAGTATTATGTAATTTTCTTCTATATTATTGTCTACTTGAATTTATTATGATGACTTGCCTTGTACACTTAGAGATTATAGTTATGTAATTATTTTATTGCTCTGCCTAGACTTGTGGGGAAAAAAGATTATGGCTAATAAATATTTGTTAAAAAATTAGCTAACAATTTGTTTTTTCATGTACAATATAATTAAGGAACTTTTAACTACTTCAATTTTGTTAGACATTTTTAGTTGTAGCTTAGCCTTTAGAATTATTTTTAAATGCTATTTATTTACATCTCTGTTTCCTTTCTCTTATCTAAAGACCAAGACATTTGGAGGAGGTGGTGGTGGTGCTAGAAGTAATCTCAACATGAGTGCTGCTGGTAACCGAAATAGGGAAATTTTACAGAAAGAAAGGTCCACCAAATCAGAGGGGAAACATGAGGGTGTCTACAGAGAACTGGTAAGACTGAAGAACCAACACAAAGTTAATGTGTTCTTTCTTTAATAGCCTTGATGATTTATTTTTTCTTGGAACCACCATTGGCCTCCAGTGTATTATGGATGGATATTATAACTCTAAAAAGGCTTTCATTAAGATTTACAGTTCATTCATGGAAAATTTGGATTGTTTGAAAAATAATTTACTTAAAACTTCCATTTTATTTAAATTTATAATGTCTGAATAACATCGTTTGGAATGGATTCATAAAATTATGTAGAAGGTTCTCAATGGAAATTATATTCTAATAAAAGTTGATGCATTAAAACGCAGTTATCTGCCCTTCTCACATTTTTTCTCAAATTTGTCTCTGTTTTGTTTTGTCTTTGAAAAAAACATTGAAATAAGTCCATATATATTACAGACTCAATTATAATATATACCGGGAATTTTAAGATAAATAAGAAGAGCCAAACATATTTCTAATATGCTGCAATATCCTTAGATGTAACAGAACTGACAAGAATTCATTTTCCTCTGTCTTTAAAGGTTGAATTACTTTGGATGATATTATCTGTAGGATACAGATTAATAAGACTAGCTTAAATAATGTGGGTTTATTATCTCATATAACAAGAAATTCAGAGATAAGATGGTTACACAAATTGATAAATTTAACAATGTTGGGACTCTGGTGAGCATCCCTGTGATTTATTGTTACAGGATTCTGTATACATTAAATAGCCATTGAAAAAATTCAGAATCAGGAAGAAAAGGAGTTCATTCCCTGGGAATGGGTCTGTTTTATCAGATAATAAAATATTTTTGGAATCTTCTGCAACTTTCATTTGTGTCTCATGTACTAAAAATAGGTCACATGCCTCATAAATTAATTAAACACTGGCCAAGGAGAATGGTTTTGTAATTATGGACCAGGCTTTCTTTTCCTTGTACATATGCCCATTTAATTCTTGGGGAAAAAATTCAGGGTTTTAAGGACAAAGTCAATATAGCAAACTCAAAAATACATGATCCCTAACTTAAGAAGCTCTTAAACATTAGTAAATTGAGAACACTTCTATAGGAATGTTTTGGCATAGAATACCAGAGGCTTGCACTTGGGGTAATTGAAAAATATTAAAAACATATGAAGGCAGTGATATCACAAAGATGGCAATATAGAAATTTCTAGGAATTGGCCTATTCACTGAAATAATTATTGTTGACAAGCACTGTCTGAAGTAACTGTTTTATCACCATGGAGCCTAGTCAGACTCTTCAGTATGCAGAGTAGTGATTGATGGAGATGCCAATCATAGAGGTAATAGAACAAATACTTCAGTGAACACATAAACAAGGAATATAATTTTTGCAAAGGAAATTTTGAAAGTACCTAAACAAATTTAAAACTGCAGTCTTTATCAAGTAACACCATCAGTTCCTGAGGAGGAGGGAGAATCTGATTTCCAAAATTATCACCATTGTAGTATTCAAAATGTCCAGTTCTCAAAAAAATTACAAAGCACACCAAAAACAAACAAACAAACAAACAAAAACAATAACAACCCAGGAAAATATGACTCAGTCATAGAAAAAAGAAATGGACAGACATTATTTTTAAAGAAACCCAGGCATTAGACTTACTAAACTAAGACTTTAACTGTCTTAAATATGTTCAGAGGACTGAAGTGGACCATTGACAATGAAATAAAAGAAATCATGAGGACAATATTTGAACCAGTAGGGAATACCAATGAAGAGATAATTGTTTTTTGAATGGGTAGAAATTATAAGAAAGAAACCAAACAGCATTTCTGGAGCTCAAAAATACATTAGCTGAAATTCAAAAGAAATTATTAGTCAGATTAAACATTAGACTAGAACAGGCAGAAGAAAGACTCAATGAATTTTAGTATATGGCAATTAACGTGACCCAGAGTAACAGGCAGAAAGAGAAAAAGAATGGAGGAAAATAGAGCTGAAGGGACTTGTAGGGTACAGTCAAATATACTAACATATACACTGTGGGAGTCCCAATAGGAGGAGAGAGGAAGGGATGGAAAGAATATATCAAGAAATAATAGCCCCAAATGTGATGATATCATGAATCTACAAATCCAAGAAACTTAACAAACTCTAGGAGGATAAAGTCAAAGAGAGACACAACAAGACACATTATAATCAAGTTGTTGAAAGCTGAAACAGAGAAGTCTTAAAATCAGTGAAAGAAAAACAACTCATCAAGAACAGGAAAGATCAATAAGATAAATAGCTAATTTCTCATTAGAAACTATGGAAGCAAAAAAAAGCAATGGGGTGATATATTGAAACTAATGAAAGGAAAAACTGTTAACCAAGAATTGTATATCCAGGAGAATTGTTATTCAAAAATGAAAAGGACCATTAAAAGAATAACTAAAAATACTGGTATAAATTTGAGTATACATGAATTATTCTAATAATTAGGTATAAAATGCTTTTGTAAGTTGGATGGTTTTCAATTCTGTTTTTCAACAGTTGATCAAGGCTTGATTGGGGGGATCAGCTGATAGCTCCTTAAAGTAATTTTTTTTTGTAATAGATGATATTATAGGTTGAATTATATCCTTTTCTAAAGACTTATTGAAGTCCTAACCACCAGTATCTTAAAATGTGACTTTATTTGGACATAGGGTCTTTACAGTGGCATCAAATTAGAAAGAGGGCAGTAGAGTATGCTGTAATTCACTATAACCCTAATTCAACCTTTTTATAAAGAGGGGAAATTTAGACACAGGTAGAGCCACATATAGAGAGAAAATGACCTGAAGAGTCATGGTGAAAGGATGGTCATGTGACTGGAGTGATGCATCTGAAAGCCAAGGAATGCCAGGGATGGCTAGAAACAACAGATGCTGGAAAAAGGAAGGAAGTTCCCCCCTAGAGATGTCAGAGAGAGTGTGGCCCTGCTAACACCTTGAATGAGATTTGGTTAATGCAAATCAGGTCAACAAGAAAGTTAGAATAAGGTGTACCAAGGTTGGGGATTAATTCATTATTAAAAGGGGTGTGTGTGTGTGTGTGTGTGTTTAAGTTAAATTCTATGTATGGGACAGTTTTTTAATTAGATATTTACTTGGAAGATAGTTAGGAGAGAGAACGTTTTGGAAGGTTTGATTATTTTTTACATTCAGGTAAGTTTTCAAAAAAGAAAGAGGAATTATAGTTTTAATGTCCAGTCCTCTTTACATTTACTTTAGCATAGCTAGAGCATGGATGTATATTTTCTCTTATGTGTCAACTCTGATCCATTGATAGTAGCTATTGTGCTTAAAAAGGATTCTTTGTTTAGAAGAATACAGTCAGAGTTTGGGAAGAAATACTGCGCTTTTATCAATGTCTGCATGGGTATCAGTGACTGCCTGCAACATGCGTGCCATGTATATCTGAAAACTTATCCATCTGAATTCTTAAATGTAGTAAAGTTAGTTATGTATTTCACAGCAGGCCATGACTGAAGGAATTCCTTCATGAGATATGTTTATATTGCTTAAACAGCTCTGGAATTTGGGTCTAGATTTGTCAAGGAGATTTGGGTTCTGGCATTTGTAAAGTAGATTTTCCTACTCAGCATACAGACTGTCAAAGCATCATAGATAGATTATATGGCTAATAAATATACAGCAGTATGGTGCAGCAATGGAGAGTAGAAAAAACAAAGAAAAAATGATGCTATCATTTTGTTAGCTTCATTTTATTTTACATTTAGGGCAGGTGCTATATAAATTATATTTTCTTTCTAGAATGGAGTATTAACCATAGCAATTTTTAATTAGGTCATTTTTCCTGTCTACTATTTTCAAAAGCCTTATTCTAGCATATCATAAATTGTTTTTGTTTTGCATTGGTAATGGTACTTGTAAAGTCAGAGGGTACTCAAGGCATAGCCCTGCATATCATGTTGATTCTTCCTTGGCTATTGGTATAAAAAAAAAAAACAGCAAGTGAATATTTTCTTTATTTGACATTTTTCCATAAATATATGATACAATTTTTAGTTTAATAAAATAGTATGTAGTTAAAAACTTACACTTTGCTTTATTTATTGTCTACCAGCATACATTTTCTCTTCATTCCTTACAGGTTGATGAGAAGGCTCTGAAGCACATAACAGAAATGGGCTTTAGTAAGGAAGCATCAAGGCAAGCTCTTATGGATAATGGCAACAACTTAGAAGCAGCACTGAATGTTCTTCTTAACAGCAATAAACAGAAACCTGTTACAGGTCCACCTCTGAGAGGTATAACTCATTAAGAAATGTGCCAGATAGTGTTTGCTTTTTGGAGGAGTATATGTTGCTGACAGAGGCTGGGTTTTGTTGCTCTGAGATCTAGAATGATATTTACCATTGTGGTAAGTGCTTCCAGTTCTGCAACTAAAGAGATTTTTGCAGGTTCCTCTGCGTGTTATTTTTTTCATCTTTATGTAAAATAGGTCTAATGGTACCTTATTTAACAGGGTGGATATAACACAGAAAATATAAAGTGACTAGTTCTAATAATTATGTCACTTGTATAAATGACTGAAGAATCTGCAAACTTTTTAAATTACAAGTGCATGACAGTTTAGTGTTATTCTTTAATTGCATAGTTGAATATATTATATGATTTTTAATTGTACAGTCAAATATATTATGTGATTTTTAAAGTCCTAATCCTATATTCTTTTTAAAAAGTAAGTGGGTAAAGAAAAATTTTATGAAAATTATTTTTTCCTTAGAAGATAATTTATGTGAACAAAATTAAGTTTTAGATCATTTGGGTGATTGAAAGTACTAATTAATACAGTCTTTAAAAAAATTTTATTGACTTCCGGCTAAGATGAAGGTATAGGTAGATGTACTTTGCCTCCTCACACAACCAAAAGAAGGACAGCAACTAATTTAAAAACAAAAAATGACCAGATCAGCCAGAAAATCAAACTGCATAGAAATCCAATGACTGAGAAGTTAAAGAAGAAACATCCATCCAGATGGATGTTTCTCCACTTCTCCAGGGTAGAGATAGGCAGCCAAGGTGGAGAGGATGTGTGGCAAGGCAGCAGCTGGAGAAGTGGGCAGGCAAGATGGGGGCTGATGGTCCCACATTTGCATGTGGATAACTGGGAGCAAAACCAGGGAGGGAGATAGACTGTGCAACCCAGGGTCCCAGCAGGGAAAAAGAAAGCTTAAAAACCTCTGTCTATAAAAACTTGTGGGGGTTGTGGTGGTGGGAGAGATACTAAGCCTCAAAGGAGAGCTTGTTGGAGAGACCCACAGGATCCTGGAACATAGACAAACCCATCTACTCAAGAATCAGCACCAGAGGGGCCCAATTTGCTTGTGGGTAGCAAGGGAAGTGAAGAGGGAAGAGGGAAGTGACTGAAAGTCAGCTGAGAGCCAAGCAAGCACCATTGTTCCCTCTCTGACCACTCCCCCACATATAGGACCACAACTCAGGTACTTAAGTTGCCTTGATCTGGTGAATACCTTAGGCTCAGCCCCTTACTACATAATAGGTGTGCTGAGACAAAGAAATTGGCCCAAATGAAAGAAAAGATCAAAGCTCCAAAAATAGAACCAAGCAATGAACAGATAGCCAACCTATCAGATGCAGAGTTCAAAATGTAGCAGGAAAAGAAAAACTCCAAAAGTTCCTCTGTAACTGTAACACTTGCAAAATTTCACACAGGACTGTAGGAGCTGACCAGTCGTCACCAAGGCAACGGCTGGTTATCTCAAGGCCACTGACCTTACTCCTGCTTCTGAATGCTTGCTTTCAGCAGCTGGTTCCCCCTCCCTTTCTGCTTGTGTAACTGGTATATAAAAAGGACCCCTAACCTAGCCTTTTTCAGCTCAGGATTTGGGAATTAACCCTCCCTTGAGCCCGCGCATGTAATAAAGTTTGTGCTTCATCATCTTCCCCGAGTGCGAGTGACATTTCCGCAACAAAAACACTGGTAATCAGGATGCTCACAGAAATGGTTGAGTATTGTCACAAAATAGAAGAAAAAGTGAAGGCTATGCAAAGCAAAATAAAGAAAAATATACAGGGAACCAACAGTGAAGGAAAGGAAACTGGGGCTCATATCATATATAACGGTTTGGACCAGAAGGAAGAAATAAACATTCAACTAGAACAGAATGAAGAAACAAGAATTCAAAAAAACGAGGAGGCTTGGTAATCTCTAGACAACTTTAAATGTTCCAACATCTGAATCATAGGGGTGCCAGAATGAGAAGAGGAAGAGCAAGAAATTGAAAACTTATTTGAACAAATAATGAAGGAGAACTTCCCTGATCTGGCAAAGGAAATAGACTTCTAGGAAGTCCAGGAAGCTCAGAGAGTCCCAAAGAAGTTGGACCCGAGGAAGCACACACCAAAGCACATCATAATTACATTGCCCAAGATTAAAGATAAGGAGAGAATCTTAAAAGCAGCAAGAGAAAAGGAGACAGTTACTTACAGAGGAGTTCCATAAGACCAGCAGCTGATTACTCAAAAGAAACCTCACAGGCAGGAAGGGGCTAAAAAGAAGTATTCCAAGTCATGAAAGCCAACAACCTACATCTAAGATTACTCTCTCCAGCAAAGCTATCATTTAGAATGGAAGGGCAGATCAAGTGTTTCCCAGATAACGTCAAGTTAAAGGAGTTCATCATTACCAAGCCCTTATTACATGAAATGTTAAAGGGACTTATGTAAGAAAAAGAAGATCAAAACTATGAACAGTAAAATGACAACAGACTCATGACTATCAACAACTGAACCTAAAAACAAAAACAAACTAAGAAGCAACTAGAATAGATACATAATCACAGAAATGGAGATCACATGGAGGGTTATCAGTTGGGAGGTGGAATGGGGAGAATGGGGGAAAAGGTACAGGAAAGAAGAGTAATTGGTAGGTACAAAGTATCAGGGGGAGGCTAAGAATACTATAGAAAATGGAGAAGCCAGAGAACTTATGACCCATGGACATGAACTAAGGTGCAGTAATGCTGGTGTGTGTGGGAGGGTAGAGTGGAGTAAAGAGGAGAAAAAAATGGGACAAATGTTAGAGCATAATAAATAAATATACTTACAAAAACAAAAAATAAAATTTTTTATTATAAATGATGTACAATATACAGAAAAATATGAAAAGAAATATATACAAAATCCTACTTAAGATGTCTGCTAATTATAATTTAGTGTATTTTGTCCTTTGTTTTTACATGTACAATATATGTGTCTTCTTAAGGTAAAGGAAAAGGCAGGGGGCGAATAAGATCTGAAGATGAGGAAGAACTGGGAAACGCAAGGCCATCAGCACCAAGCACCTTATTTGATTTCTTGGAGTCCAAAATGGGGACTTTGAGTGTGGAAGGTAGGCTAACTCAATGTAGATTTTTTTTTAAAGACCAAACTTCATTTGTAATTGTACAAAAAGGTTTACTAGTGCAACTAACAGTATGAACCTCTGCTCTGGGTGTTTATAAATTTCTTTAATTATAAATTGCCTGTTTGATAAAAACACACAAGAAAATTGTAGTTGTTATAGTTTGAAATGTTAGATGGCAGCCTGTTTTGTTCTCTTACTGTACACTGGGTAATAATGCCAAACTCTTTTTCCCCAACTTTACTGGGTGGCAGATTTAGCTATGGAAACACATCGTTATGTTGGGAAAGTTATAATTATATTATTTTATATGATTTATTTTTATTGTAAAGTTGGTCTGTCTCTTTTTTCCCATATATTATATATCACATCAAAATATTCACACAATGAGTAAATAAGCTCCCTCAATGTTGTGTATTTTGCAATATGATATATTCCATCAGTTAACATAAATGCTGAAAAGAGAAATAAGTATGTTAAATGTGTATCTTTTCTCTTAGCATGGAGCATGGTAAATATTTTCTCAAATAGTAAGTTTTCAAAATATGATTTCAAAAATTCAGGAAAATAATACTGCTAAATTCATTTCTCATTGAGTCTATTAAAGCTTAGAGATAAAATGCTTTATAACAAATTTAAAGTATCCAGATTGTATCCAAATCCAGATTGTATCCAGATTGTATCCAAATTTAAAGTATTCATGAAAATGGAATCTTATTTGTTGCTAGATTACATAGGAAAGGTAATGTAATTGAGAAAACAAATATTTGATGTGGAGAATATTTATAAGCAAACATGTAAGAGCAATATTTTCTTGATTATAAATCATAATGTATTGGTTTTCCATTGTCATTTAACCAATGATCACAAAAATCAGTGGCTAAAAAAATTGCAAAAATATTACTTGTGAGTCAGGAATCCAGGCCTCATTTGGGGCTTCTGCTAAGTCTCTTGTACTAGAATTGAGATTGCAGTTGGTTTATGATCTTGGCTGAGGCTTGAAGTCCTCTTACAAGTTCACGGGTTGTTAGCAGCACTCAGGTCCTTGTGGATACAGTCCCTGGGGAGTGCTTTCAGTCCCTAACGGCCTTCAGGACCTAGCTGCAGGACCCACTCCACAGGCAGTTCACTTGTTTGTTTGCTTCTGCAAAGCCAGCAGGAGAATCTCAGCTGCTGCTTTCAGTTCCTCTGACTTGCTGACACTTTTGTGCCAACCTTCCTTTATACTATCCTAAACAGGGCTCCTTTGATTTCCTTTTACCTGTCTGCCTCCCTACATTTGTTTTTGACTCCTGAGGTATCTCCTTAGTCATAATGAGGTTGGGATTGAGGAAGGTGATTCCACTGAGAACTCTGGGCCTACGATGCTTCATTTCTCACAGAATGCATCTTAAACCAATAAAATGAACTAATATTAGCATTCTGCTTGAAAAAGGTATCAAAGTTAATTAAGATATATGGTAAGAATGATACATTCAAAACTGAACCTCTGTGTTAGAGAAATTTACTTCTTAGAGGACAGAAATTATGAATACTTTGTTAATAGTGGATATTGCTGAGTAGAATGTGTTGTATTTATGTTACTGTTATCAATGTGACACAGAGTCAGCAAGAATGTGAGCAAGATAGGGGTATTGTAATAGTATTCTAGACCCTTGATTTTCCCAGGGAGTATAGCCTGTGATCTTCCCAAATTCCCAAATTCAAGAAAATAAATAGATTTCTGATATTTGTACAGGCTCTTAAATTTTATACAAATCCACATGTTCTTATAATCATCCTAACCCCAGAAATTACCTTCCCTTCCAATTTACATTACAGTTTACTGTCCTACTTGATGACCATTTTTCTCAGGGAAGCAAATGTTATTCTTTCTAAAAATACTATGTGGGAGGGCCCGCTGACCAAGACAGGAGATGAGGAGAAGGCTTTGCAGAGGAGGTTTGGGGGGTATGAGGAGTTTGGGGGGAAGGGCCATCGAGGTAGAGGGAGCTGTGGGTGTCCAGGCCTGGAGACATCAGAGCACCACTTCCTGTGCTGTGAGGGCGCAGCAGAGGTGAAGATAGAAGGCCAGGGGTAAAAGTGGTAGGCTGGAACCAGATCAAGAAAATATTGTCCTAAGGAGATTTTATTTTATCCAGATGGCTTTGCAAAGCCATTAAAAGGTTTTGGGCATGAGAGCAATGAGGTTTGTTTGGTGTCTTCAGAAAACAAATTTTTTTCCTCTGTCCGCAAGGTAGAAAATGGGATTTTTAAGTGAGTCTACAATCGCACGTGTTTTGAGGAATCATTTATTCTGTAAATGTAGTAGGACAAAGGGTGCGATCATTTATTTTTCTGATTTTTTAAATCTTTTATTATAGATAATTGATCATCACATGTACTTAGAGATTTTTCTAGCATTAACTTTTTAAAATTATATTTTTAAATTGGAACCTAATATAATCCTAATTGACATTTTTATAAATTTTCTGAAAAAAGTCAGTTTGGATTACATTGGTTTATGAGAATAACCACTAATTAAAGTGTTTGATGTGATGCGTAATGACTTGATGCCAACTTGGGACTGTTCAGTTGCTCATTTTGTGATGGGGTTGTGTTCTAAAAGGCTCTTATATAGGGATTCTTTTTAAATTTAGTTTTATATTTTGATTATTATAGTTGCTGGCTAGATTATCACGCCAACTCCAAAAGGTCAATTTTTATGTTATAACCTAAGTTTATCAATGTGTCACTTCAGTAATACATAGCTACCATTTAAAACAATGCCCACTGGGAATACATACTTAAGTTTCAGTTTGGGACGGAAGAAGTAGGTTTGATTCTTTTCATTATCATGGAGGAAATCCAGGTTGGCCAGAGAGGGAGAAAGGGATGCCTTGAGGTAGTAACTTTACTGCTCTGACTTTCTATGTCTAAATGAAACCAGGGTAGCAGCCTTAACTGGTTCTGAATGAGGACCAAGGACACTGTGAGAAAGGTGCGCAGAGGAACCCTCTACTATCCCCTTGCTTGTGTAGCTTATTTTATAAGTTCGGTGCTTTTTGCCATTTATGTACTTTAAGTTAAATAAATATTGGAAATAAGAACTTACCTAACACTCATAAGTGTTGGACATGATCACAGATGGTCAGGTTTCCCCTTTCTAGGACCCAGCCTTGTCTCCCACTTTCCTTCTTTTATTCCTTAGTTCACGGAATTCTGTACTCCCTCAAGAAGCATACTTACCTGTTCCTCAGTCTGTTTGGCTGGTTGGTAATAGTTGAGAAGAGCATCTCTTTGCCAGTTGTATCTGTGACCTTTCCACTTTCAAACTTGCCAACTTGTCTCTTGTAGGACTCCTAAAGGCAGTAAGAAGTAACCAACACTTTCCATCATCCTGACACTTTCATACCAAGTTCTCTATAGCATTGGCCACTTTGGTTAGGAGGCCTCAGTTTTATGACAGCGGGTTTAACTACGCAGTAAGTGCCAGCATACTATTAGGAGATGAGCAGACTTTCACCACCCTGCTCCCTTCCTTTACTACCCTGGTTTTACATTGTAGGTTTTGTCACTTTATCACCCTACTTCCTGGCACCAATTTCTAAATTAGGTTGCTTTAAGATGTAAGCCACAGAAATTCAAGAAAGCAAAAAGGGAATTTATTGGTTCATATAGCTGGAAAGTCTTTCTCTAGCTCTGAATTCTGCTTTTTTCTGTTGACAGACTGTCTTCATGTGGTAGCAAAGATTGCCCAGGTAGCTCTAGGCATAGCATGAGGCCAACATAGGAGATGGCATAATGACATATAAAGATATGTGGGTAAAAAGACGTATCTCAATTTTGCAAGCACATTCTTTTTCTGGGAAAAAGTAAAACACCTTTCATCATAAAATTACTGATTCCCCAATCTCAGCTGAGTCCCACTGGGGCTGCTCCTTTGAGGTGTTTGGAGTGGCTGGAATAGAAGTCCAAAGAGACTCAGGGAAAGAGCACACTGCCACTTAATATCAAATCTCAATCATAATATGGGATAAAAAGTAATAAAAATATTTTTCAGGAACAGTCAAATGGTCCTTATACCTAGGAGATCAGATGGAAAAAGACTTTCCATCTCCTTATGTCTGTATCTATCCCATTCTTATTCAGGAAGCACAGGACATCTTCGTTGATTCCATCAGTGTTATTTACAAAGAGGAAGGTGAAATTCCCCCCACTGCCTGTCCCCTGAAAATAGGGCTCTATTATCAAAAGAAGGGGAGAATTGAGCAGGGTGCTGGGGCAGACAAATACAATGGATTCTACCACTAACTTAACTCACAGTTCTTGTATTTACTAGTTGTATGTCTTTGGGTATGATAATAATCTCTTACATTTTAATTTCTCCATTGGGAAATGGAAAAAATAGTAATAACACCTAAGTTATAGGGTTGTTGTTAAGATCAAATTAGGTTATGCATATAAAGTGCTAAGCACAGTGCTTGACACATAGGCCTCCATATAAAAATGGTAGTTCCTGCCACCATCATCATCATGATTAGCAAGAACAGCAGCAGTGGCAGCAGCATCCTCCACTTGTCATCTCCATCCCCACTAGCCGCACTCCAGGTCCTCAGCCCTCCATTGATGCTTTGCAGAACTTTATCATTTCATCCTCCATATTGCAGTCAGTGATGTTTCAAAATATCAATTTGATCCTACTATCCCCTTGCTCAGAATAATTCATTGACTCTTCTCATTGGCAGAATAAAATTCAGTCTATATATTATATGTACTGTTTTTATGGAGTGGCATTACACTATTTCCTGTGGATTTTGTGAAAAGTAGCATTTGGTTAACAGTACTCCTAACTCCAAATTCTGCATAATATTCAGATGTAAATAATATATTTAGATGTTAGCAGTTAAAATAGTAATGGTTGCTGGATAATTCACATGAAGTTGCAGGCTTTTGATAGTTGGTAGGTGTTGTTTTGTTTTTATTTTATTTTATTTTAATCAAATTTT